CTGGGTTACAGGAGAACCTACAAGTGGAATACGATCATAAGTGGAAGACCTGTTACCCATTGACGCAATGTTAAATGAACCTCTGTAAGTGGACCACCTCCTATTACGTGTTTCACTCTTTTGGGGTATCAAATGCGTCCCACTTACTGTACTTAAGTAGAATATGATATTCGTCCCATTATGTGACAGATAAAACTCGTTGACCAGCAGGTCAACTGAACAAAAATAAGTCTAATATAATGCGAATTGCTAAACAGGTGAACGCCAGCAGAGTTGATTTCAACTCCATCCCTGTAGTCATTCGTCTGAGAAACACAAACGTAGCCCTGTATAATTTTTCAAATTATTGTAAATGTTCAAAATTTAGTCACACGGTCTTATTGTAAATGTAAACTCATTCATCAATCAATGCCTTCGTGTTTGTGAATCAAAGACTCCGAGTGAAGCTATAATCTTATAATAAAAATATGTGTCTTAAAAACAAGATCAAACTTAAGTACACCTTTACTGGATCTAGTATACCTATACTGGATCTTACCATATCAATCGGACGTATCTGGAACATGAAGATTTATTAGCACCAGAAAATAGATGTCTCCACATGGCGTCAACTCGTATTTTCTAGATCCTCAAAGAAAGCAACGTCCATTGTGCTTTGAATTAAGCCACGGATTGTGTTTTTGGTTGAGCCGTGAACAGATTGTTTCTTTCTCTCTTGTGTCACAGATCATTCAGCTTCCGAAAAGTTGTCTATCAGATGCTTATTTGTTCAATTAAGTTTTCCGGTTAAAGTAATTCACATTCCTTAAAGTGACCATGTATATTTGTGCTTCATATTATTCCAAGATACCTCTTCCCTGGGATGGTTTCCAGGAACGCTGATTTTCCATATTCGATTTTGGTTATTCACGCCAATTTTCAATTATTATCTTTCCATTTCAACATGTCTTTGATCATAATAATACTCAGAGATTTAATTTAGTTTTAAATATGTGCTCTGGCCAGTCTTATTCTTCTGTGTTCACATGTTGAAATAATCTCTCCGCCACTTCACTTACGTGCAACACAGGAATTTGTTTCACTTTTTAAGTGATTTACTTTTTAAGGGACTATATCAGTGTATTAGAAACGTATTACGACTGTCATAAGGATATTTATTACTTTACAACTATTATTTTAACATTAGCATTTATAAGTGTGACATATCTTAAAGTAAGTGATTAATAGTGAAGTTTTGTTCTCTTACACAAGCAAGAGCGTACATATAAAAGAAACAGCGCAAAATCATTTCTCAACCCAAAACCCAATGGGTTCTAAATGATTTCATACATATTAAAGGAGATAGTATAAAGAACAGTCCATGAATGAGTCCCCGGTGTGAAGTGATGTCATTGGCGTTATCTTAGATTCGACAAACAATATTTGTTTTTATAAAGTGTCAACTGAAATCGAGGTATGATCCGTGCGTTTTCTTGACAATTACTATACAATGCGAGTCCCCTACTATAAGGTGTCACATTATAACTGTCACTGTTCAAAATGAAAATTAATCACAAAAAATAAACAAAATGAAATTTCAAGTCTGTAAAAAGTGTGAAAATAAATACTTTAATGCAAACGCTTGCAAGGGATCAAATATACTGTAACTAAACAATCGCTGAATACTAAAATCACACAATCAATTGGACAAGTGTCTACTGACACTATCTGAAATTGGATTGGTTGTTACAATACAATGTTGTTTACATGTTCAATTGTTTGCTTACCATTCAAGTGAAAGTATTAACCATTTATTCATTACCATTGTCTGTTTCGTATATAAACGCCCATATTGTATCAAGATTCCTAGCGTTCTTAGACACATAATCCAATGTTTATAAGCACGCCCCTACATGGGATGCTGCGGAGATTTCAAAGTTATACTGCGCGTGAATATCTTGAACAATTAAAATGTAATTTTCATTTCAATTAATCGTTCACCAATCTTTTGAGGCCCCATCCCATAACCAAACATTCATCTTGGAGAAGTAACGGGAAGGATGGTCGTAGACAAGTGTATGAAAATAAAACAAAAATGTACAGTTAAACCTGTCTAATCCGAGCGCCAATGAGAGCGGTTAAAAGAGATTAAGAGGTGTTCGGATTAGTCAAATGTTACTCAGTCTACACAGACGTACTAGTAACATTTATTTTAAGTCCATGATCTGTAACATCTGGAAGATTAGTTTCAGTCCTGGTCTTGCATTAAGTTTTTGCCCCCTCCTACCTTTACCTATTTCCTTGACTAGGATGCAGGACTATTCAAATTCTAGCTATGCTTTGTAATAAAAAGATTTTCCGGAGATCAATAGATGTCACCATTAAGTCAGATTATAGTTTCTTCTAGATTTGTTGTATTGCTTATGGCATTTCTTTTCAAGATGCTTAAGGAATAATACAAATTGTTAAAACCCCACCAGTGACATTAAGGTACATTCACTACGTTAAGTATGGCATACTGATTTCTTTTTATGATTTCTTTTTAGCAAATATGTAAAGGAAGAATTATCTAAAATCTATTTTGAAAAATTGATCCTGAATATATCTAAAATCTATTTTGAAACCCTGGACACAGACAGACAGACAAAACAAACGGTCTCTCCTATATTCCCAACATGTTTCCTTTTTGGAGGGTTCCAAATGTCCATGGTGACATTTATAGAAGAGAATCCAACTCAATATTCACTACTTGGAGATGTCAGAGTTTTGTACCTAGAAACTACATGTATTTTATTATCCCTTATAAATAATCATACAACACGACGCATACAAATATAATACTATAGAAAAAAACGATGATATCAAATACCAGATTTGCCCAATACAGATGAATTCGAATTTCCAATTTGAAATAATTGAGATAATACTTAAAATACTTAAAAACTGTTCAAGGATCCCACCTACTCTGTCAGGGTATCTATTAAAAGTCAACAAATACTTTAAATTGTTATCTGTGAATTGACAATTTGAAAAGACTCTTGACAAATACTCACTTTTTAGCTTTCAAATTAACCATTCTTTTACCAATCCAAAATATTTAACAAAAATTGTACATTTTAATTGCTAGAATATATTTTTTACCATGATTGATTGAATAACATTCACTAAGTAAATAAACAATTGAATATATTGAATATTGATCTAATTCTTGATAGCATTCATGTTTTCCAATTTTATACATACTCTTTGACTCTAAACAAGCCAGGCCCGTAGCCAGGATTTGCCAAGGGGGGCTCAGTTTTCAAAAATTTCCAGGGGGGGGGGTCACATTTGACAATTTTGGCACAAATACAGTGTATAGCTAAAATCACTTGAGAAGTGCTCAAAATGGTGAAAAACTTCATGATTTTGAAAGAATTTTTGGCAAGGATTCGCCCGAACCCTGCAACCCCCCCCCCCCCCCCCCCCCAGCTACGGGCCTGCAGGCCTTTCCTAACAGGCCTTTTGGATTGCATCATGTTGCTACACTGAGACTATACCAAGTGACACAACTGGATATGATATCCCTTTGTATTCCATACCTTTTGAGGTTCTATGTACAAAAAGGGGGGAATATTGTATTTTGGGAGCGGGATACATATTTTCCATATCTTTTTCGCTCTCACCAAGGTCTGGGGAATACAGGGTGTATCCATCCAAATCCCACTCCACAATTCTAAAATGATTTTCTGTATTGATTTCAAGAAAATTAATATGAAATCTTTCATAATATGTTTTTTGAAAAATTTAAATTTCAAAAACTAATAAATATGATTTTTTACTATTATTTAAAAGGAGTTGAAAATTGAAATTAATGTTACAAATTAAACTTTTTGAAAACTTTGAAATCTTAGGGATTAAAATTATACCAATAACCTCAGTAAGTAGGTATGAATACATCTGTTATGCACAGTCCCTTGGTCCATTGAGAAATACCAATATTTACCTTTAAGGATAAAACCTGTATCCAGAACCTCCCAGTACATACAATGTAACCCTGAATTAAGGCAAGCAGAGTAGGATATCAGGTCAATGCTTCACATGCAAATCTACATGTAAACGACCTATTAATGTATGTTATTCATTTCACATCCTACCTTAAATCATGGACCTCTATCCTGGAGGATAGAACATATCAATGAATTACAAAGTAAATTCCAATCAAAAAATTATAAAAATGACATAATAATAAATGCAATTTATGCAGGTCAATGTGGCCCTGTGACAATCAGTACATTTCGTACATTTTTTAAAATAAGTAGAGGATAGCGCAGATCCACTTACGCTTGACAACTGACACTCTTCATTTTTGAAACAGGGTAAATATACTGTATTGAATATTACATTTGTCACCTACTCAAACAATTCCCTTTCATATTTTTAAACAATATCATTATATACATATACTTATATACACGCATCAAGATCTTAGTACATAGATTTATCTGTATGCATTATCACATCATGTGCAGTACCTGATGTAAAATCACATTTGAAGGAACACTTAATAGAAAAGAGTCTGACAGAAGCAGAGTGATTTTCCAAAAGGACGAATAATTGAATAAGTCATAATGATTGTTTTTCTATTTCTTATTAAGATCAAAATGTCAAGTGGTAATATGGTTATTATAGATTTCATATCTTCAGATTGAGATTTCACATCTCTATATACTTTACAGGTTAAATTCATTTAGTTGCTCTCAAGTTAAGTTTTATTAAGGGGGCTGGGTCAAAGCTTCAATGTGTTTTATACATGATGCATTTGAATTCATTTTTGGCTGTAATCACATTTCCATAAAAAGTGTTAGAAAGTGAATCAATGATGCTAGCTAAAGCATTGAACCAACCTGCTTGAGAAAAATCAAACAAGGCATTATCATGCAAAATGCCAACAGACACCAACCATTGAATGACAAACACCAACCGTCTAATAAAACACCAATCACTGAATGACAAACACCAACCGTCTAATAAAACACCAATCACTGAATGACAAACACCAACCGCCTTATGAAGCACCAATCACTGAATGACAAACACCAACCTCCTAATAAAACACCAATCACTGAATGACAAACACCAACCTCCTAATAAAACACCAATCACTGAATGACAAACACCAACCGTCTAATAAAACACCAATCACTGAATGACAAACACCAACCACCTTATAAAGCACCAATCACTGAATGACAAACACCAACCTCCTAATAAAACACCAATCACTGAATGACAAACACCAACCACCTAATAAAACACCAATCACTGAATGACAAACACCAACCTCCTAATAAAACACCAATCACCGAACACTATCCACAAAAAAAAGTTGGGAGACCATAACAATATCACCACTTTTTTTTGGTGGTGACATAAAAATCAAAATCATATGCCACCCTGCTGAAAATCTCTTTGCACTCTTTCAAAAGGGAGAAGTATTGAGATATTTTGACCAAAAAAAGTAACATTGGATCTGAGCACTCAGATGAGAAAAAGTCAAAGGGAGCTCACTATCTTCTGCAAAATTGACAGTTTCTTTTCAAAGATCAAAGATATTGACCCTAAAGATATGATCAATATCAAAAGGAGTCTATTTGTACAGTAGTGTTAGTGCATGTATCAATTTATCTATGTAGTTTATTTTTAAACATCTTTGCATTCATTGATGTCATGAACATTTTAAACTTTTTTATATTCATTTGTGAACATTTTAAAGTTCTTAATATTCACTTGTAAACACCTTAAAGATCTTTTTATTCAATGGAGAACACCTTCATGTTTGTTTAATTCACTGATGTACACCTTTGAATTCTTATATTCACTTGTAAACACATTTAAGATCTTTATATTCATTGGTGAACACCTTCAAGTTCTTTATATTAATTGGTGAACACCTTTGAATTCTTTATATTCACTTGTAAACACCTTTAAGATCTTTATATTCATTGGTGAACACCTTCAAGTTCTTTATATTCAACGCGAACACCTTTGAGTTCTGTATATTAATTGGTGAACACCTTTAAGCTCTTTATATTAATTGGTGAACACCTTCACATTTGTTTAATTCTTTAGTCACTGATGTACACCTTCAAGTTCTTTATAATCGCCAGTGTTCTTTATATTCATTGGTGAACACCTTCAAGAACTTTATATTCACTGATGAACATCTCCAAGTTCTCTCACACTCTGTCTTGGTGAACCAGAGACATACTGTATTAATAACTTTAACTGAGTATTGTTGTTGAAATGCTATGTGTCTGTTAAAAGCCGACTGTTACCTGCAAATGACATCAGATGGGACGAGACCTGAAATAAACCAACAGTTCATCATTCTTCTGACATTGTTATTCATATGAAGCATACTAAATTATGGAAATCCCTCTGATTAAGCAGAAGCGGTCACCAAGTGCATTACTTGTGTTTGATGTAACTACTAATGTGACATCTATAATATTGATCTTAAACAATATATTTGAAAACTGTGTACAATCACCCAGCTTGTAATCATGAATGCAACTTTCGGCTTTTGGCTACCGGATTAACATACTATTTTATGACCAAATCATTTAAGTTAGTATAAATGGAATAGTGGCAGGTACGTATATTCATATCTAAATGAGTTGCCCATAAAATAGTAGATTAATCCAGTAGCCAACAGCCGAAAGTTGCATTAGTGAATACAAGCTTTTATATATTTGATGGATTGGGGATTTTTGCTGTAGTATGATATCTTGATCTGGATATCAAATATATCTTTACATTTTATTCAATATGTACCTTTGCAATCATGGAATAAATAGAGGATATCCTATGATTTATGAGTGATATGATTTTTATCCACGAATGGATATGATATCTGCACGACGCTCGCTCGTGCAGATACCATCGCATACGGCGCCGTATGTTTTAGTTTGCATAGTTGTTTATTTGTCAATTAAAATCGATTTTAAATGTACAGGCAACTGACACCCATACGGGTGTATATAGTTACATATGATTATATTACATAATTGTATTAATCAAGATGACAAGATATAAAACTGTTTTTTAAGATAGAAAGTTAGAAGAAAAGTGATAGAAGAGAAAGAAATATACATATATAAAAGCACATATAGCTAAATGTTATACAGATTAATTTAATACTTGTCCAGATAATACTTTTTCAAATCTGACTTAAATTTATTTCTAGAATTCAGATGTTTAAAAGTTTCAGGTAATTCATTCCATGTTATTTGTCCTATGTATTTAATGCTCCTTTGTCCAAATGTAGATTTAAATTGAATAGCTCTAAGATTGAATCTATAACGTGTCTCTTGACCATGAGTTTGAGCATTTGATATGAAGTAGTCAGAGAATAAAGTTTGAGGAAATTCTTTAGGTCGTTTGAGACAATTATATACAAAAATACCGACATTTAGCTTATGAATATCTTCTAATTTAAGTATTTTTATTTTCTTAAATTGTGGAGAGGAATCGTCTGTTCTAGCACTGTTTGTAATTAGTCTTAAGAATCTTTTTTGTACTTTCAAAATTTGAAACAATAGAGCTTTAGTTGCTGTTCCCCAGATAAGAATACAATAATTTATATGGCTATATATAAGAGAGTAATAGATAGACATCATTGCAGTGTGATTTATCTTATTTTTGACCTTGAAAAGAATTCCTACTACTTGTGAAATTTTGGTAGATACATGAGCAATATGCTCATTCCATTTAAGTTTATCATCGATAATAACTCCAAGGAAAGTGGTCTTTGAAATTCTTTCAATAGGTTTATTTCTAATTTTAATATTTAGCATTTTTATTTCAGATTCTTTTAATTTGTGTGGATGAAAGATCATGAATTTTGATTTTTCTATATTAAGCGATAGTTTATTTGCACATAGCCATTCATCAAGATTTTCTAATTCAGAGTTAACATGATTAATGAGAGTACTTAGGTTTTTATGTGAGCAGAGAAGGTTTGTATCATCAGCAAAGATAACAAATTTAAATATAGAAGATGTCGTAACAATGTCATTGATGTAAATAAGAAACAGAATAGGTCCAAGGATCGAGCCCTGTGGAACCCCGCAGGTGACTGTGTTGGTTTTGGAAGTCTTGTCATTATATTCTGTTTCCTGAGTTCGGTTTGAAAGATAGCTAATGAACCACTTATGTGCATTTCCCCTGATTCCATAATAGTATAATTTTTGAAGAAGTATTTCATGATTAACCGTATCAAATGCTTTAGACAAGTCGATGAAAATAGCAATATTAAGATCTTTCTTTTCAATTGACTGGATTAATGTTTCTAAGAAGCTGGTAATAGCCATATATGTAGATCTGTTTTTTCTAAAGCCAAATTGCTGTTCACAGAAGATATTATATTTCTCTAGAAAATCTACAAGTCGATTTGCCATTACTCGCTCCAATACTTTAGAGAATACTGATAATAGGGAAATTGGTCTGTAGTTATTGAATTTAGTTTCATCCTCCTTTTTAAATATAGGCTTGACCTTTGCTTTTTTTAGTAAGTCTGGAAATGTTGCTGTTGAAAGAGAGAGGTTGCATATATATGTCAGAGGTATAATTAAATTATCCTTGACTGTTTTTATTGCAATTGGTTTGATTTGATCTTGACCAGGGCTTTTGTCTTCAAGTTCTTGTAAGATTTTGCTCATTTCATCATTTGAGACATCTGATAAAAATATTGACCTATTGAAATTTTTTTCAATTTTTTCTAAATAATACCTGGGCTGTTTTTGAGAGATTGGAATTTTTCTAGCAAGGTTGTTTCCAATATTAGAGAAAAAAATTGTTGAAGTTGTTTGCAATTTCTTGTGGTTCCTTAAAGTGCTTATCTCCTGATCTAAATGTAGTAGAAATTTTTTTTGGGGAGATTTTTCGCTTAAGGATGCCATTTATTAATGACCATGTGTCCTTCATGCTTCCTTTGATTTTATCAAATTTATTGTCATAATATAGCTTCTCAGCTTTCCTTAAAGTTTTGCGAAGAACACATTTATACTTTTTGTATTCAGATTTTCGTGCTTGTGAAGGATTTTTCAAATATTTCTTGTACAGACTGTTTTTTTGTTTACAAGAATTGATAATTGCTTTAGATATCCATGGTTTCTCACTATTGTGAGTATATCTAAGTTTTTTGGTAGTCAAAGGAAAGCTAGTATTATATGCATTTTTGATCATGTTTGAAAAAAGTTGATAAGCTTCATTAACATTATCATGTTGATAGATTTCTGAGAAATCCATATTGTTTATCTCATTTTTGAAATTTGCCATGGTTTCTTCATTAATTTTTCGAAAGTTAATGATATCCTCTTTAAAAATAGCATAACATGGTAAGTGATCTGATCATGGCTAAAAATCCATATGCTATGGTTAAGTGAAAATTTGTCAAAAATATCATATTTTACCATTGATTACAAAAATACCGTTTTTATTTTCACATGTTATCCTATGAATATCATGCTAACTATGGAATAAAAAAAAATCATATGCCTCTTCGGAGACTCAGGCATATATGATTTATCTTTCTTGTAATATATACATGTATCCAATGTTATTAACAGTGTTGTTTCATTTACTTTACAGTGCAAGCTCATGTAAGTATATATACCTGGTGTATTCTGAAGACACCTCTAGTACCATTGATATCTATGGTATCAGTGTAGAATGACAGGGAACTCCACACCTTCACCATGTCACTAAAACAAAATCATAATATTTAAGCACAAGGCATTAACATGAAAAATGTCACCACCTGCCATTTGTTATAGACATCAGCTGCTGAACTGAACACCAACTGCAGAACACCAACCATGACATAAAAAAGTTGGAGAATATAAGAATATGTCACCACTTCTGGATGTGACATAACATCTGAAAGTGACAATCAATGCTGTATGTGGAATATTTTACCTTACTTTACCTTGAAAATTTTTATTTATTTAATGGAAACACTTTTAATACAGGGGAACACAAATACAGTGTACAAGGCTCTTCCAGACATTACAATGCTGTATTCAAAGATGAGGATGCTAGTCTACTGACAATGGTACCTCATCAAATTCCTGAAATGCCAAATATCAAAATTTCGACAAAAGGAATTCACAAATTGCTAACTGGCCTAAATCCATCAAAAGCCACTGGACCCGATCTTATTCCAACTAGGGTCCTGAAGGAATGCAGTGACAGCATATCACCATTCCTTCAAATAATTTTTCAACAGTCTATCAATGAAGGCTTAGTGCCTATGGACTGGAAACATGCCAATGTTACTGCTATCTACAAAAAAAGGGACGAAGAGATGAGGCTGTGAATTACAGGCCTGTATCTCTGACGTCAGTTCCATGTAAAATAATGGAACATATTATATTCCATTATTCTAGTAAACTTCCAACATGGATTCAGGTTAAAGCACTCGTATGAAACCGAACTTGTCAATACAATAGAGAATATAGCTCGGGCCCTCGACAACAATAACTAGACAACAGCAATACCAAAGCGTAGCAAATCCCATCGAACAGCCATGGCGGCCATTTTTCAAAATGGCCACCTTCTACCAAAATTGTCACTAGACAGTGTGCCATGCTTATAGTATTCACATACCAAATATGAACAAAATCGCTCCACTACTTTTCGAGTTATAGTAAAATATGGTAAAATGGTGGCCATTTTGAAAAATGGCCACCTTCTACCAAAAGTGTCACTAGACAGTGTGCCATGCTTATAGTATTCACATACCAAATATGAACAAAATCGCTCCACTACTTTTCGAGTTATAGTAAAATACATTAAAATGGTGGCCATTTTTCAAAATGACAGAAGTCTGACAGAAGCTTATTTGTTATTTTTGCAAGGATATCTTGGAAGGTTTGGTTTGATATTAAAGGCTGTATACAGGCCTCTATCCAACTTTTGCCAAGGGGGGGGGGGGCAGTTTTTATCAATTTCAAGAGGGGGGGAGGGCTCAGCATCACAATAGTCAAAATAATGTAATCTGATTGATTTTGAAAGAATTCTCTGCCAGGGGTAGTTGGTAGTTGATATCATATGGTAGTTGAAATCAGCAGGGAGTGATGTCAGTTTGATGTCATAAATATGTATAGAAAACTGCAATCATATGACTTCTTTTCTCGATAATAAAAACAGAAGGAATTTGATGCCATTTGCTAATATAATGATTTTTTTGATGTAGTTGCAAATATATTAAAGGAGTATTCCTTGCCAGACCATCTCTCTCCTAATATGGTAGCTATAACCATATACATACTTTGCAAGTTCATCAAAAAACAGAAAAATGTTTTGAAATGGTCAATATTGATCACTTAAAAATGTAGTGCTCAATTCCAGTAGGCTGCCATCTTTTAAAATTTCACTCAGGAAGTGATGTCATCGACTCTCAAATTTGCATATAACATTAGGTAAGGAGCTATCAGAATTACTAAACCAGCTGAATATTTTTTTCAATTTGGTCTATGATTAAAATCCTTTTGATGATCTCTTCTTTAGTTCTAAGTTGACAACTCCTGAAAATATTTTTACACAGGAGATAAGGGCTTCTTGTTTAGAAGAGATTTTGTACTTCTTTCCTATACTGTAATAGACAAGGTTATAACAGGTGAGAGTCGATGACATCACTTCCTGAAAGAAATCTGAAAAGATGGCAGCTTACTGGGAATGAGTACTACATTTTTAAATGATCAATATTGACCATATGAAACCGTGTTTTGCTAAATATGTAAAGTATATATATGATTGTAGCTACCATATCAGGAGAGAAATAGTCTGGCAAGGAATGTTCCTTTAAACTACTATACAGCATTTATAGATACAAGTATATCAATCGTTGTATTTGCAATGATTTCAAACTACATACAGTTAAACCTATAAGTATATTAAACTATACATGCAGTTTTTAGTACATTAAAATTATGCGTATGTAAAGTTACAAGTACACGTATATAAAACTCTCACATATTCGATCAAAACTTGCCATGCAAACATGTTAGTCTACTTTACTGGCCCCCCTTGCTGTAACAAGGAACCCAAAACACACTAAAACGTAAACATAAACCAATTAGTCACTTCACTATGAAAGTGAGGGGTGCATGGACTAACACAATATCAGTGTTCATTTACTGTGTCAACTTAGTAACCCTTGCATATCGTGCTCACTCAAGTATTGAATAATTTTTTTATGATCTAAATGTTTGTGGTCTATAAAAAAATGTGATACATTTTAGTTAGAAATACATTAATTAATATATTCATTCAAACAGCACTAGAATGCGGGAAGAAAGAGCAATGGTGACAAAATGCAGACAGAATTTTCCGTAAGGGTTTAAAACATTTCTGAACACAATCATACATGTACTCTATGTGTACTGTTATTTTTAGTGCTGTATTTATAGATAGAATTTCACGTATTAAAATCATATTTTCCAGCAATGACTTCAAATTCGGGACCACACCCATATCACATTTTCTTCAATAACTCCAAACATGTGTAAACATTGAACATATGCTTATAAATTCAGATTTCACGAGCTCTTTCCTATTCGAGTACCTCATACACCCCTGCATGGATTTGAGTTGGATTCGCCTTTTATACGTGAGCCGACACACTCGCAAACGCTGATTGGATAAAGATTGCGAGAATCTTTAAGATACAAGTATATTGTATATCAAAATAATATGAAGGTTTATAAATGTATACAAGTACATCAAATTATATGCATTTAAAGTGACAAGTATATCAAATTAAATAGTTCCAAGTACATCAAACAAACTATATGTCATCAAAGATACATGTATCAAATTGGGAAGCTAGATAACAGGCCTGTATACTATAGTGGGTTCTTTGTCTGTGCTATAGAGTCTATTCTGTGATATCATATCATACCAACAAAAGTGATATCTATTATCAGTATATACATTTAGACTCAAATCTATATGAATAAGGAACAAAAGTATCCCAACTAATCAAGGGTTATCAGTATTTCCTCAATAAGCCATCATTGTTTCACAGAGAACATGCCAAGTTCCCATAAAATAACCTCTATTGGTACTCTGATCTCAATATCTATATCTGAATGAAACTTTTGATGCAACTTAAAGTAACATCCCCTCCCTATCATCAAATGTTATTTACAGGCTTGCATATATGTACATGTTTTAGACCTATTGAGTTTGTTGAGTTTATTGTCTTTCTTGTTTTTGAACAAACTGGCAGAAACACATTTGTTCATATGCCACAACATGACGAACAACAGTTGCTTTTTGTGTACCACTCTGTATAGACACAGCATAGTCAAAAAGGTGTTGTTTCATAACTTTTAGTTTGTACGCCTCAATCTCCAACTCTGGATTGTCATTGATCTTTTCATTGACAATGTACTCTAAGCACATTGCAATGTCATACTTCATTGCTGCCAAAACAGGATTCCTGTTTTTATACATCACTGTGAATATGACATTTTTGTTGACAACACTATCAATAGAAATTTTTCTCAACATGTTTCTGAAACTAATTTTTAGCAATGTGTTACAAAGTGGCAACCCTATTACTGGAAGAATGACAAATGTAAACAGTGGTATAGGAATAATCACCATGAAAAGTAATCTGCTATCTAGAATGCCAAATATTAAAGAAAGAATTAAGCTGCCAAATAAATCAAGCAAAATAAAAGTAAATATCAGAATACATTGAATTGTGAAGTGGTCAGGTAAACAAGTGGCATTTACTCTTAAAACACAAGCATGTCTCATCAAAGGTGAAGAGTTGATTGAATCTATGATGTCTGCTGTTTCAAGATCATTAAGAGCAATGCCTCTTACATCGAGACCCATCTTCATATCAGCAACGGTAGTATCCAAAACAGAAGAACAGTTCTGCAGTTTGGTTTCAATGTTGAAATATGACCCATTGGTGACCATATTACGTTGAACCTGAGGTGGTAATTCTGGTTCCTTTTCATCTTTAGCTACAGCTTGGAGAATACGTTCTGTAGCCTGATTCTTATCCAAGTGTGAGACATCTAAATAATTGATGTGTTTTAGTGTGTCTGGTAATACACATGGTCTCAGTTTGACTGGGATGATATCTATGAGGTTATCATATGCGGCGGTGATAGCTGTATCGACCTCTGTCTGGCACCATCGGCTTTTAACAGCTTCTGGGGTAAACACCAACACTGTCTTCATGCTGCTAATTATAGCCCTGTTGATTTCATATATACTTGTACGCCCTGGTAAAAAGTCACGGTCATCATAACAGCATATAAGATTATATGGCGGAGCTTCTAGGATCCGAACCATTTCAAGTACCCATCTTTTGTCTACAGAAGAATGCGAGAAGAAGATATGGTATTCTTTACCATTTGGTAATTGCTTGTCCCCAAGATTATCTAAAAGTTCATGTACAATTTCATGTTGGTCTCCATTCTCCATATTTACGATCAAGTGGTCGGTTTCTTGGTATCCAGTAGCCATGGTAACCAATCACTCTCTTAAAACTATCTTAAACTCGATGTATCTGAGCGGCCCAGAACCTATGCTATAGATTATGGATTTATATAGACCCACTCATTTTTTTGTGTTGTGTGTAATGTTAGTAGAACTATTTCTTTAGAAGTGCGTTTATTGCATTATTTGTTTAAACTAAGCTTTTCAAATTCGCAGAACTCATTTAATATGTGGTGTTGTATGAGTCATCGACTTCAGTCTAAAAGTAACACAGTTTGAAAACCTGATACCATAAAACCTGTTTACCTGAATACCTCGCTAATCTTAACAACACCCAATCTGAACACTTTTTCCGGTTCCATTTTTCCAAACATTGACTCCCATATACAAAAATGTGAACACCTCCCAATTTTAACAGTGGACAGTCATGTTTGTAAAATTAACCTGTCTAATCTGAACACTTCATAAAACACATGTTTTCTACAAAAATCACTAAAATATTTTCTATTACTCACTGTTTTATCATGAAATCAAAACTCGAAAAACATAGAATGGTGTCGATCATAATATGTCTTACTAATAAATTCATTTGACTTTGATTATTAAATAATTAATTAATCAAATTAATAATATTAAATTATTGGAATGCCATATAAAATAATAAAGCTATGTGGACGATAGAACTATAAATATTTATTGAGAATGTGCTACAATTTCTTTAAAATCCAGAATCTCGTGAATGCAAAAACCTCAAAATGGGAACATCACCTAATCTGAACCTAATGTAACAACTTTTTTCTAAATTTTTACATTATTTGCCTTTGTTTGCTTAGCTATTGTTTCTTTGTGTGTTTAATCTTTGTCTCATTAAACACGTCCAAATCCAAATCTAATGCAACAACTTTTTCTTTTGTTTGCCTAGCTATCGTTCACTTTGTTTACCTTGTTTACTTTATTCATATGATCTTTATTTCTAGTAGGTTATGTAGAAATAAAAAAAGCAAAAAACTAGACAACAGCAACGCCAAAGCGTAGCAAATCCCATCGAACACCCATGGCTGGCATTTTTACAAACAAAGTATATAGCAAAAATTACAAACAAAGTATATAGCAAAAATGGCAGCCATTTTTCAAAATGGTCACCTTCTACCAAAAGTCTCATTACACAGTATGCCATGCTTATAGTACTCACATATTAAATATGAACAAAATCGCTTCTCTACTTTCCGAGTTATAGTAAAATACGTTAAAATGGTGGCCATTTTTCAAAATGGCCGCCTTCTACCAAAAGTGTCATTAGACAGTGTGCCATGCTTATAGTATTCACATACCAAATATGAACAAAATCGCTCCACTACTTTTCGAATTACAGCAAAAAACGTAAAATAACGAGTAAAGGCCGCCATTTTCAAGATGGCTGCCATGTGCTTCTTTAATATCTACATTTCTAGCTTTATTAATGTCCTATATATTTTTTTTACATTTAAAACATATTGCTATCACAGTTTGACATATTACACCTAAATTACTGTAAAATCGGCACTAAAATGGCTGCCATTTTAAATGAGCTGCCATTTTGAAAATCAGCTTTCGAGCAGAACTTCTACCCCTATAGGGTATATATGTGTACACAATATGAACAAAATCGGGCCCACGGTATTTGAGTTATTGCCCGGACGGACGGACAGACGGACAGAGGCGTTCCCTATATCCCTCCAAACTTCATTCGATTGGATAACAAACCGACATGTTGGTATAAGACTTTTCCAAAGCGTTTGACACAGTGGCTCACGAATGCCTCTTACTCAAATTCGACTATTATGGAATTCGCAATAATAACTTGAACTGGTTCAGATCCTTGCTTGTGGGAAGATCACAACAGGTAGTGACGATGGCGAATCAAGTTCAAAAACTCCAGTAAAATCAGGAGTTCCTCAAGGAACAGTTCTTGGACCACTCTGTTTTCTTGTTTATATCAATGATATGGGCAATAACCTATCATCCTCAGCCAGTCTTAAACTATTTGCTGACGACAGCCTTTTATTCATGACAGTCGAAAGCAAGCAAGATGCATTAACACTACAGGAGAATCTTGATAAACTGGTCTCCTTGGCATCAACAAGGCAAATGAAATTCCATCCATCAAAATGCTATGTGCTAAATATTCAGAAAGGTAAATCCCCTATCATTCACAATTACACCATGCTAGGGGAAAACCTTAAGTCGGTAACACACATCCCATACCTAGGTATTGACATCACAAATAACTTACGCTGGACTACACATATTCAAACTATTGTATCCAAAGCCAATAAGGTGCTTGGATTTCTCAGGCGCAAACTCCATCAATGCCCTGAAAAAGTGAAGGCTCAGGCCTATAAGTCACTAGTCCGGCCTAATTTAGAATATGCCAGTTCGGCATAGGATCCATACCGACAAAAAGATATTGATATGTTGGAACAGGTACAGAGAAGAGCAGCCAGGTTTGTGACCAAATGTCACTCAAGGGAACCAGGCTGCGTTACCAAAGCTCTTCAAGACCTACAGTGGGAGCCACTGAAGGAGCATCGAGAGGCTGCTAGAGTTTTCCTTTTCTACAAGGGACCGCAGAACCTAGCAGCCATCGATGTGCCTCCATACTTCCGCCAACAGATCAATACCAACACTAGGTTGTATCAACCTTCTAAGTTCGTACAACCATCAACTAGAACGGATGCATACAAAGGAGTTGGGTAAACTAGCAACAGAGAGTGTCCCAATTGAAGTGTGAAAAAACTTATTTTAAGAATAGGAGAAAAAAACATCAGAAATGCATAGATTGAAGTCTATATTTTTGGGTAGTATTTTTAAAAAAAATTAGAAAAAATTGTTACGGTGTCTGGAGACCTTCAAAGAGGGTGGGGGCCAGAAGGAAAAAAATTCACATATTTTGCAACCCTCTTGATGAATTCCAATTTACTCAGCTATGAATGAATGTTTTTGATTTATCTGTCCAGGATTATGTAAATATATATTTATTTGATCCATACATACAATTGATTTAAACAATATGTACAGTTTAGAGGTAAGTAAAGCTTTGAAAGGACATTTCATGCTGAGTCTGGGTGACATTTTTATTCACTGGAGGTAGTAATCCTTTGAGTGTTTTCACATAGAGCATAACAAGTCTCCACTCTAATAAGTGCTTCTTTAGTTACATAAATGTTATATTGTTGCATACAAAGAATAATTTTGATGGAGACTTATTATGCTCGATGTGAATTTTAGAACTTTATAGAAAATTTTGCCTGCCATTTTTGTTGATTATTCAAAATGGCCAAATGCTATTCATGCTGCATATGTAGGAAGCAGGTAAATTCTCCTAGAAAACGGAGAAAGGTTACAGAAGATTTAGCTTCACAAGTCAAGAATGCCAAAGTTGGACAGATAATATGCAATAACTGTCGTCTAGATTCAAAACGAACCAACCATAATGGCAACTTACCACTGAAGGATGACCCTACTGTGTCTCCATTCAAAATAGCATTCAAAACTAAACGGTAAGAGTAATTCATAATTTTTAATTACCCCTAAATTATATCTTTGTAAATTATCTCATGATTACAACAATATAGGGTAAAAGAAAGAATACTGACTATTGCAACTAATAATAGAAGTGATATTGAGGTAATATAAGCTTGATTTGGGAGGAGATTGTTGTGATATTAGGTTGATATCAGAACTTATATTTTTTGATATTGCTTATGTAATGGCAATATGTTGGTAATTGGGCAGATATAAAGTTAATATTGGATTGATATTTGTCAGAAATTGCTATCGAATTGGGCTTATATTTGGGTGATATTGCTATAATATTGGGCTAATATTTGGGTGATATTGGATTGATATTGGGGTGATATTGCTATCATATTGGGCCAATATTTGCTTGATATTTGGGTGATATTGCTATCACATTGGGCCAATATTTGGGTGATATTGGATTGATATTGGGGTGATATCGCTATCATATTGGGTCCATTATTTGGCTCATATTTGGCTGATATTGGATTTACAGTGGGATATTATTACAATCAGAATAATTAATGGGTGATATTTGGTAAATAAGAGGGTTGATATTGGACTGTTACTTAAATAATATGAGGCCAATACTTGGGTTATTTTGGATTGATATAGAGTGACATTTGATTGACAATTGGTTGATGTTGCTATGATATTAGGACATTACTTGACTTATATTTAGGGTGAAATTGCTTTCATACTTGGCCATTATCTGGGTCATATTTGGGCGATATTGAATTTCTCATTGGGTGATATTGCTATTGAATACAAAGAGGTTATATAATGGGAGGGATGGAATATGAATTTTATCCTGAGGGAAAATATGATATTGGCAGAGGAAAATATCGTATTGACAGAGGGCGACAGCCAGAGTGTCAATTTGATATTTTCGGAAGCCAATATCATATTTTCTCGAGGTAAAAATTCATATTCCATCACGACCATCAATAACCTTTTTATTCTATAATACATTTTTCTGAAACTTATATTATTTTCAAGTTCGATTTGTCATCAACCAATGATGGTGACATAAAATGATACAGTTTGATTTATCATATAACATTTTGAACCTTTATTAACAAGCTTTAAAACATTATCAGAATGATTGATAATAAACTTAATAGTTGCTTAAAAATTATGTTGAATAATATCATTATGTTGAATTATAATATATACAGTGTGTGTGTTTAGTGTGTGGTTTTTAGCATACCCTATGTCGCTAACAGGAAGCAGGACATATTTCTGATAAAAAATAAACATTACTTTACGAGTCAAATCATGAAATGTACATTCTGAATTTAAATGAATTAAAAATAATAAAGTATTTTCATTATTTTAGGTACTTTTGTTCTCTTTCAGTGTTGCGTGGGAAGGGCGGAATATATTAATATAAATATCTCATTATTGGCAAATTGCCAATTTACTATATATTGTAATTCCAACCTCTATGAGACTAAATTCCTACAGATATTTGTGATATTTTAACCAAAAAGGTATATTTTGGTAGAAAATAATGAA